CTCGCTCTTCCGGTTAGCCATGGTTTCCAAGAGATTCCTGTGCCTCCAGCATGGAGGGGAGACTCCGTTCCCCACTGTGCCTCCCCTGGAGCGGCTTGCCTTTTCCTGTTCTTTGTGCTGGGCTCCATGCTTCCGTGTCTGTTGTGAGGACACCCTCGAGTCGTGGGTGGACCACTGGCCCTTCTGGGTCTGTGACATTGCCCAACCCCCCCAGTCGTGGGCTGCGGGATGAGGAGGCAGCTTTGGCTCAGTCTGTGTTGTTGGCTTCCAACAGGCCGACCTTGGCCTCTGCCCAGCTGACCTGCTTCTTTGAGGCCCTTGACTCCGTGCTCAAGTACCGGGCCACCGTCATGCAGGCCTTCAAGGACATGAACCGCTTCACCGTGAACGAGACGGTGCTGTCCACCAACGATGTCCTCATCCTCCTGCACAAATGGAGCCTCCTCGAGAGAGACGCTAAGCTCCAGGAAGACCTGAGAGTGGCCATTGAGAGATACCAAGTCAAGGAGCTACAGAGTGGGTGTCAGGAGCCAGCTGTCAGGTGTTCCCCAAACTCTGCTCGCTTCCCCCCACAGAGCAGCCGGCACTTGCCCTCTCTGAGCACAAGGCTTAGAAACAGGGCGCATCCTGCCCCCTCGGGGAGACCTGGCTTTGAGTCCCCCTGCGCCACTGTCACTGCTCGCTGGGAGGGCCGGCGGGTGGCTCTGCTGTAGTGAGGGTGGAAGGGGTTCATCCTGAGAGCCGCTGTGGCTGTCACAGTCCAGTGTGGCACTCTCACTGGGCTCCAGGCATAGGATCGTGTCTTATGGGAGCCGAGCAGGGGGCCGGTGCTCGGGACCTCGCCCTCCTCCCCCCTCCAGTGCCCAGCTCCCCGGATCCATATGGGGAAGAGGGGCCTCCATCTCACTGCCTTCCTCTGTGTGTGTGTGTAACAGAGATGCTCAAGGACAAGAACAAGCCTGTCGTGCCAGCCCGAGCCAGAGGCCCGCGGGCCCGGAGGAGGAGGCCTGGGGAGGCAGAGGAGACGGCTGAGCCCGAGCAGCAGGCGGCCACCTTGGAGACATGCAGGGGCTTCCTGAGGTCCATACTGACCCACTGGGGACCAGTGCTCCCCAGCCCCGAACGGGCTCAGAAGCCCGCGGACGGGGCCAGCCCTGAGAGCCATGTGCCGGGCCTCGCGTGTGCCACCGCGTCCCTGGCAGTCAGCTGGGTGCTGCGGTCGGCAGTGGGGTGCCCGCTGAGCAGGGCAGAGGCCGCGGGACTCCTTAGGTGGCTGCAGCGCCACATTTTGCCGCAGCCAGCGGTGGTGACTGAGCTGCTCCAGGACAGCGCCGTGAGGAATAGCCTCTTCCAGCTGTACAGCCGGTTCTGCGGTGCCCAGGAGCTGGTGGGGCCCGCGCACAGTGTGGCCTGCCTGTTCAGCGCCGTCCTGCTGCAGCTGGTGGCGGCCCGGGGCCCGGCGCCGAGCCCTTGCCACGCGGCGGTCCAGAGCCTCTGCCTCTCGGCTCTGCAGGAGGAGGACGAAGCCACTCGAGGTGAGGCTGGTTCTCAGAGGCTGTCGGGTGCTTTGGCTGAAGGTTCGCGTGGGCCAGCCGAAGTGCTGGGGGTCATAGATTGCCATCCGGCCCCGAGCGTGGCCTTTGCCCAGTGACCACCGTGTGTACAGTGGAGAAAGGTGCCCGCTCAGAACCAGTGCAGGGCGGCGGCTTTCCTACATTTCCACCATGACTCACGTGGAGGATTCTGTCTCACAGCGCATCCGGGTGTACGCGTGGCCGCAGATGCGTGTATGTGTGCACGCATATACACGCACAGGCACGCGCACGTGCACACCATTTACGTGCTTAGCATTGAGCGGGTGCTTCGCGGAGGCTTAAACGCAGGAAAGAATGAATGAACGAGCAGCAAAGGCGTTAAAAGGCTCTAAGAGAGCAGAGGGGGGCTGTGACCATGTGCGTGTGGCCTCCACCTGGGAAGGTTGTTCCTTTCACCAGCGATGGAGAGGGAGCAGGAAGGGGGGATAGGCCAGCAGCCTGAGCAGGTGAACTCCCCTGGGGTGGGGTGTGTCTTTCATCTGGATGCTGTCAGGGAATTGAATCTGGGCCTGGGAAACCCTGTCACCTCACCCATGCCATTGGGGAGATGATGTGAAGTGAACCTGGAACCTCTTCTCAGACCTCAGTTCTGGCTCTCAGCATGGGTGGTCAGAACCAAGAAGAAACTTGGCTTGTAGTAACTTTCTTTCCATTCCACACACGTTGATCGAATAAAAAGAGAAATTTTAGAATAAAGAAGATTAACCCCAGAGTTAAGCAAAGGCAAAATTAATTTGTCTTGAACGCATGCTCACCTCCTCTTGCCACAGTTCATTGGGCACTGAGCAAAGCCTCTGTGTCCCCATGCGTGGGGGGTGGGGGTGACTGGCTTTCCGGCGAAGTAGCTTTGTGTCCTAACGGCCTTGTCGTTCACCTCTTCCTCAGCCACCGCAGCGTTCCTGGTGTCTCTGTACATTAAGGACGTCTGGCTAGGGGCTCAGCGGCCGGACACCCTCCTAACCCATGTCCGAATGATCTGTGACGCCGCAGAGGACACGCCAAGTGGTGACGAGGAGGCCATCGTCATCCTCTGTAAGAACATCGCCGCCTCGGTCCCCGACGCCTGACGCCCTGCCATCTGACGCCTTCTGGCCCCAGGTTCTAGAAGTTTGGTTGAGGCAAGGGTTTCCATGCAAGCCTTGTAGGATGACAAGTTTTGTCTGTGTCAACTCCGTTTCCTGACAAGCGAAGTTGACTTACTTAATTCACCAGTAGGTACTAAGCTCTAGGGACTGTGTGCACACAGTGTAGTCGGAGCTGCAGTGGGCGTGGGGCCTTCTGGGCTGCAAGCCGGCGCGGTGTTCAGGTAGGTAAGCCCCTCCTCTCAGCTTCGTTGCTCTTCAGAGAATATACCTCAAGTCGAGGTAGCACTTCTGAGCACTTAAGGGATTTGTGCATATTAAAGCTAAAATGTCCAAGAACATAATACGTCAGATAAAGCGTGTGAAGAGAGATGATTCAACTTTTCTTTCCACGAGAAGTCTTACAAAGCTTTGTATAACTTTTTGAGTGAATGAGCTCCTGCCGGTGTTAATTATTTTAGTATGTAAATCCTTACAGTATAAAATTGATTTGACCCCTCCTTTGGAAAGAAAGCCTGTATTTTTTTTATAATTGTTTCAAAGGGTGGGGGGGATTTGGAATTTTATAACTTGTTAATAAATGTCTATTTTTGTTAGGCTTTTGTGTTTTGCTTCATTGGTATTAACAGACCATTTCATTTCACAGAAACCTGTATTTTAGAGGTCAAGATTTGGCTTTTAAGGTTCCCATGTTAATTGGTGCAGCAGCCGACAAACCTCAGGAGAATTCTGGCGTGTGCCCTTAGTGCGCTCAGAGCTCCGTGTGGGCCCACACCCCTCCTGCACAGCGTGGGCCCCGGCGGGTGCAGTGGGGGGGCACTTGGCCACAGTCACAGGACTGCACAGCGGCCTTCCCTGTCCAACGGCCCCAGTTTAAACGTTGACACTTTTCTATTCCTGCAGTGTGCCTTAGACTCGGTTCTGGTGGTTTTTCATGATTTAGGATATTTTTTTTTTAATTTTTTTATTGTTATGTTAATCACCATACATTACATCATTAGTTTTTGATGTAGTGTTCCGTGATTCATTGTTTGTGCATAACACCCAGTGCTCCACGGAGAATGTGCCCTCTTTAATACCCATCACCAGGCGAACCCATCCCCCCACCCCCCATGATTTAGGATTTTTAACCAGGATAAGAGTAATGCTTGTCTGCCTCCAGTCCCCTTAGCACATACGGGCTCATTGTTTAGAAAGCAGGGAGTGACTGCCCTCCTCCCCCCAAGCCCCCACCCCAAACACCTGCAATTGTGTTTTTTGAGACAATTCCTAAATCAGAATCCTGCATTTAGATTCAAGTAGGAGAGTCCACGTGTTCTTTCTCGCCCCTTTTCCGTGTCTCTTGAGTTCATCGGTCTCCCCTCCCTCATCTCCCTTTCAAACCCAACGCCCCTGAGTCAGGTGAGGCCAAGCCTGCCCCCATCTGGGGGATTTGTCAGTCCACCCGGGCTGGGGTGGGTTCTGTGGGCTTTGTACTTTGGTGCTGTCTCTGGTGTACTTCGGAGGGCTCGGACCAGAGGGCCTGTAACATCACCCACATGGGACCCATCCTACCAGCTCAAAGACGTCCTGAGACAGCATTCCAGTGCAGACCCTCTCCCCTTGGGCTCTGTCTTTTAAAGGATTTGGGGAGGTCAGGAGTGTGACTTGGGTCCCTTGACCACAGTCAGTGATGCTGGCAGGGCCTGCACGTCCCTGCCTTGGTGACAGTGGGCGACAGTGGGGGATGGGTAGGAACTTCACAGGCCCTCCCTGGGTGTGTCCTAAAGAAAGTTCCGATCCGCATAGAACTCAGGGTTGATAAATATTACAGCAGCATGGGGTGCCTGGGTGGCTGAATGGGTGAAGCATCAGACTTGGTTTCCGTCCTGGGATGGAGCTCCGCAATGGGGCTCCCCGCTCAGTGGGGAGTCTGCTTGTCTCCCTCTCTCTCTACCCCTCCCCCCATGCATGCACACTCTCTCTCAAATAAATAAATCTTTTAAACTATATTATGGCAGTAATAGTTGAAGCTAAAAAGTGGCCCAGTAAAGATCAACAAGCAAATATTTTTTTTTAAATTAATTCACGTATGTTTTATTTTCTACCCTTCCCAAAGTGAACATAAGAAGGAAGCATGCAGGTAAAATGCACTGGAAATCAGCACTATCTGGGGCTACTTCCCTGTGTTGGGGGATACTGCGAGCCCTGGATAATGTGTACTTGCGCCCCCTCATAGAGTACGTCTTGGCCTACTTGCACTTCCTGCTGCACAGGAGCAGGCTTTCTGAAGGAGCCTGTGTGTCCAGGTTGGTTTGAGTTCACCAATTTGCTGGGGTCGGTTCTACAGTTGAGAGGTTCTGTCTCCAGGGGGCGGCTCACCCCGCGTGTTCCTGATGTCAGCTGATGCTGTGGGGGGGCCCCATGGACGGCCAGTTCCCGGAGGAGAGCAGGGTGGGGCAAGGTGGGGGGGCTCGTGGCCACAGCTGCTGCTCAGGGCCGCATGCTCTGCTGCCTGGCTCTTTGCCCGACCTCGGTGGAGCCTTGGGGGGTGCCTCCGGAAGCAGAGGGGGAGGTGGGGGCTGTTACTCCAGGGGCATGTTGGGTGGTGCTGGGCATTGTTCCTGTGGACAGAGCAGAGGGGAGGCAGGCGTCAAAGATGGCGCAGGAACTTAACTGGACGCCTTCCTGTTGCACCGTCCTGCCTGCCCAGAACCCACAGAGAAGGCTTCACGGGGCAGGACCACCTCCACAGCCCAGCTCACAAAGGTCACCACTGTGGAGAAAGGGAAGATAATAGGCTGTGCTTGATGGTGACCTTGATCCTCGCTCATTCCCTCTGAGTCACTTCTCCCTCATTGTCCACTCACGATGGGGAGTGGGCAAGTGGACCTTCCATCCAGCCACCCGTTTGAGTAGATAGCTCATGTATCTGTGCCTCCAGCCAAACTTGTATCTTAGCTAGAAACCCGTCTTCTCCTGACGCCCCTCATGAACGTGAGGTGCTGGGGGCAGTGGGCACCCTGCCTGGCGTGAACCAGCCCACCACGTCCCACCTGCCTTCCGATTCATCAATGAAATGGGACCCTCATCACCTCTTAGCTGTCGTCAGGATAACATGAGGCAATGCCTTGGTAGAGACTCAGCTAGAGAACTAGTTTCAACTAGTTCTAATTCTAACGTGAATGAAGAGGGTCAGGAAGGGAGCCTGATAGAGCAGAGCCCTCCTTTCAGATGATGCTAGCATAATATTTTTAAGCATAGAAAGAGCAACTCCTCAGGGAGCCACTGAGCATCTCCTTCCCAAATCTTACAGTAAGATCCATTTGGCTCCCCTGAGCATCCCATGCCCGTTAAAATGTCTGGAGAGTGCTTTCTTTGGTGTCAGGGCGAACAGCATCATCCATTTGCCCCGTAAAATTGTAGCCCTGAAAGACATGCAAGATTCCTCAGCTACAGCCTCCTGTGAGCCCACCGGACCGGGGAGCTTTCCACTGGTGGCGGGTGGGGGGGGGGAACCAACCATTCTTGCAAACTGTCCCTAGCACAGGGCTGCTACAAGTCCCCTCAGAAGAGTGTGTTCATTTACTCCCCCCTCTCCAGGTGCCTCTTGGGATATAGATCTGCTTAAATTCAGTGTGAGTTCTTAAAACTAGACAAAAAGAATGGATTTCTTCATTGCTCAAAAGCTGGCCCCTGCCTCCCCGTATGACCAAAGGGAACCAGAAGTGACTTGTGAGCCACTCTGGGCAGGGCAGGGTGGAGGCAGAGAGACAGAGCCCCCTTGAGGTAGATCTGGACATGTGCAGATGTGCAGGTGCGCCCTGAACCAGCATTGGGACCCCACCGGGTGGGGGGGGGGTGTCGCCCTCTCTTCTCTGCCCTCCCTCCCTCCCTCTCCCCGAACAGCTCTGCTCGACTCTCCGTTGCCAGCTTCCTATGCTGACTCGTGGTTTCCACTCCCCCAGAATGCTTGGTCCCTGATGGCCTCCAGCCCGTCTTCCTCCTGGACCACTGGACCACTCAGCGCTCCCTGGCCCCAGCTCTTCTGTCAGGCCATGCGTTTCAAGGGGCTTTGGGCAGGCCCTCTTGGGTCAGTTGCCCACCCCCGGTCCCATCAGCTGAGGCAGAGAGAAAGGTAGTCTAGGGTCCTCAGCTAGAACATTCATTAGGACAGCAGTAGCTACTGGGGGGCAGATTAAGCTAGAAGGGGAGATTGGATATGGTGGGCCAATTGTCAAGCACAGGAGACTTAACCTATAATGAGCTAGGTTAATTACTAGCTAATTACTGCTTGGAGCTCCTGGATTTTACCTCCAGTTTAGCTACTAAGGCACACAGTCAGTATTGAGTAACAGATGGTGGTCATAGATGCCTACGTTTGGGTCCCCTTTTCCTGCTGAGTCATTTGGCAAGACCTAACTGCTGTGTGGGGTCATTTTGGCTTTATTTTCTTTAACAGCTTAATTGAGATATATTTTATATACAGTAAAGTTCAGCCATTTAAAATGGAAAATTCAAAGATCTTCAGTATATTCACAAAACTGTGCAGCCGTCCACACAATCTGCTTTAGAATATTTTTGGCATCTGAACGAGCAGCCCCGGCCCCGTTAGCAAGCACTAATCTGCTTTCCGTCTCTATAGAGTTTTATTTATTCTAGATGTTTCATATCCATGGAATCCTCCAACATGGGGGCCTTTTGTGTCTAGCTTCTTTCACTTGGCACAGAGCCTTGGAAGTGCATCCGTGTCGGAGCAGGAGTCAGGGACCCATTCCTTTTTGTGACCGACTAATACTCCACGGCGTGGCCTGCGGTCACCGGCTGGTTAGCCCTGGGACTTACCTGCGTCGGCACCCTCCGTACTCACCTCGCCTGTGAGGAGCCTGACCAGGACATGTAGAGCAGGATGAGGAAGAGAAGCATGACGAAGAATGCCAGGCTCGCCCAGAAGGTGATGACAATCAAATCTGTGGGGTGGGGGGGGGTGCATCTCAACATCAGCGTGACATCGCCGGAGCCCGCAGCCACGGGAAACAGGGCCCTGAGGAGAGGCGTTTCTCTCCTCTTCCAGCCTCTCAGCCGTGACCAGTGGGAAGACTTTTCCACGAACAGTAACCTTGGGAAGGACCAGGGCAGCAGGGAAGTGACTTTTTCCCTGAGCAGCTGGCGGCAGGGTTGCTGAGGGAAAACCAGTCCATGAAATTGGGTGGCACCCCATGGATGTGCTTTTTCGGCTCCTGGTGCTCCCTCCTTCCCCTTCTCCACAGAGGGAGAAGAAAGGGCTGTGGGCAGCTCACGTGACAGCCAACCTCCCCTCCCCTGTGAGGGCAGCAGGGGCCTGTGGGGACTGTTCCATCAGGGGCAGCCTCAGAGACCCCAAGACTCAGAGATTTTAGGAGGAGGTGAGCTCGACTAGGGGGCTGGAACCCTCCTGTGGTGGGCAAGGCAGACTTTTTTAACCGAGGCCTCCCTGGTCCCTTTCTTTCAGGGGCACGCGCCCAGTTGGGGGGCAGTGACAGGAGGGAAGATCCCCTGTGTAGCCAGCCCTGGGCCTGGATTTGTGGCCAGAGGCTGAAGGGGCAGGGAAATGGAATCATAGTTAGCCTGTCTGGGGCTCTGGGTAGAACCTGGCAGGCCAGGAGGTGCTGTTCCCCGGGGCTCCAGATCAGGAACCTTCTGCAAGTTGCTAGGCGCTGTTGCAATATGGTAGTGTTTCTTGGTGGTGAACGATGGCTATGGGCACCGCTCACCGGGCTGGTAATTAGTGTGTGCGAGTATCTTATCCCAGACACACTGCTGCCCCCGCGCCCAGATGCCCCCAGCTGGACCTGCTAGACACCTACATGTGTGAGCAAAGGAGGCTACTGCAGGGTGATCACCCCACAGGAATATATTAAGCGCCCACTCAAGTCAGGCGCTGCCAGGGGCTGTGAAAGATTCAGAGGGGGCCACGCTAGCACGGCAAAATGGCTGCCCCCTCTCTCCTGCACGCTCCTGCCCAGCCTTGTGTTGTGCTCTGTTAAACAAAAGATGTTTATGAATGGGTAAGCAAATGAGGAAACGAACAGAAAGAATGAATGAATGGGGTGTTAGAGATTTGTGTGTCATCTACATAGAGCCAGGAAGTGAAGGCCCTGGGGGTAAGTAATGACACTTGAGTAAAGGGTGTCACCTCTACTCTCCATGACCCAAGACAGGTAGAGAGAGAAACAAAAGGCTTGTTAAGAGTTCATCTTAGGGCGCCTGGGTGGCTCAGTTGGTTAAGCGACTGCCTTCGGCTCAGGTCATGATCCTGGAGTCCCGGGATCGAGTCCCACA